TGAGCATTTGGGCTGAAGTCTTGCCTGGCATTTAATTGGTGCCTATGCTATAGGAGTGCACTTGCTTCAGTAATTTCATGTAAGTAGATGTGTGCAAGCAGATATTTGCTACAGAGCTATAACCTTTCTTAATCACCATTTTATTTTTAAGAACTTTAAATAAATGCATAGACCTGGAGAGACCTGACATTAGGTGTTAATGTTTTGGTGAACTCTATTGTATTAATGTTTAGAAAATAACATATTTGGACTGTATGTATTATAGTGTTTTAAATATTTAAAATATATTTGAAATGGGATTCAAATTTAAAAATTTCACATTCCTTGAAAGCAGTGCCAAAATGTGAAGGTTTTGTAGACCTTCCATCACTTCCTTTACCAAATGTGTCTGTAGGCTACTGGGGTGAATTTTTTTCAGTTGTCTAATGGCTAAATTTATATCATTAAATGATTGAATTTGCAGATCCCAAATGTCCCTCAAGATATCACTGTACTCATGAAGCTGGTGTACATAGTGTTGGGCTAACTTGGATTCATAAACTTCACAAATTTCTTGGATCAGGTGAGTGCATTGATTTTTTGTATTTTTAAGTAGGTTTCATAGGTTCTATTAAAAAGTAATTTGGAATAGCAAAATAATAGAGAAAAATTAGTGAAACCAAAAGTTGGTTCTTTGAAAAGATCAACAAAATTGGCACCTTTAGCTGGACTGACCCAGAAAAAAAGAGAGAAGACTTAAATTACTACAATCACAAATAAAAGAGGGAATATTACTACCAGTCTTACATAAATAAAGAAGATTATAAGGGAATGTTGTGAACAACTATATGCCAGATTAGATAACCTAAATGAAATGCAAGAATTCCTAGAAAGACACAAACCACCGAAGTTTACTCAAGAAGAAATGGGAAATCTGAATAGACCTATAAGAAGTAAAGAGATCGAATTAATAATCAGAAAACTACCTAAAAAGAAAAGCCCTGGACCAGATGACTTCACATTTAAAGAAAAATTAATACCAGTTCGTCATAGACTCTTCCAAAAAGTAGAAGAGGAGGAAACTTCCCAACTCATTTTATGAGGTCATTATTACCCTGATATTAAAACCAGACAAAGACATCCAAGAAAGGAAATTACAGGTGAATATCTCTAATGACTATAGATGCAAGAACCCTTAACAAATACTAGCAGTCTCAATTCAGCAATATATAAAAATGATTATACACCATGACCAAGTGCGATTTATCCCCAGAATGCGAAGTTGATTTAACATCCAAAAATCAATTACTTTCTTATACTGTATCAATAGAAAAAAAGGGCAAAAACCATATGATCATCTCAGTAGACGTAGGAAAAACTTTTGACAAAATCCAGCAACCTCATGTTAAAACTATTCAACACTCAACAAAGTAGAAATAGAAAGGAACTTTCTCAACCTGATACAACTGCATCTATGAGAAAATGACAGCTGATACTATACTTAATGGTGAAAGACCAAATATTTTATTAGTTTTCTATTCTGCTGTAACAAATCTCAAACTTAGTGGCTTAGAACGACACAAATTTATTATCTTTCAGTTCTATAGATTACAAGTCCTACATAGGTCTCACTGCACTAAAATCAAGATGTCAACAGGGACCTCAGCCTCATCTGCCCTGAGGCCAGAACAGGATGGTACCTGGCTACCACTGCTAACCATTCTAATCAGGGCCACAGTAGAGGGACCTTGATAGAATGGAAGACAAATGTGGAACAGAACTGCAAATTCCTTAAAAACAAAAAAAGAACACAGAACCTGCTGGACTGGTTGAGACTGGAGGACTACCCAAGACTATTGCCCTGAGATACTCTTCAAACCTTGAAATGAAACTAACCCCCAAGGTCACCTTGTAGCTAAATAAAAAATTGGCTCAAAAATAATGAATATGACCTGTAAGCACTGTTCTCCTTTAAAAAAATCACCTGGAGCCGGAGCCAACATGGCGCTATAGACAGAAGCACCATGCCATCCCTCCACAGCAAAGACCCAAAAGACTAAGTAAAACAGAGACAAACGTCAGTCTTGGAACCCTAAGTGTCAAATGAAGAGATAACTCAACCAACCCTTGAATGGAATAAGAAACTGACATTGAACAGAAAGCAAGGAGAGTTATAAGCGGA